CATTTAATTGTATTTCTACACGAATATGACGTCAAGTGACATTGGATATATATAAAGTTGTGTTGATTACTACCATGCACACAGCAAAAACACGGGTTTGTAATCGATACACAGGCGTTTCTTACACTCCGCTCCATCTAAAACCCAGCGTTGCCTTGCCAGAATTTAAATTTTTTACAATCTTTTTTTTGGTCTTGTTTATTCTATACATGTATTTTATTTGTTTTTGTTGAATGCATAAATACATTGACACATACTGGTAATAAATAGGCACTAGCTTATAATCATTTTTTTATACTTTTTGCCTCAAGAACACGACTTAAGACGTACTGAACACAATGTCATAAAAGCCTCTCTATAATTTCCGAACTTTCTGCTTTTTCATAATTAAAAAAAAGAGCCCAAGGGCTTTAACGGTTACCTGAGTATAATACAACCCTGAGCAGAGAATAATTTAAAATGCATTTCAACATATAATCAATAGAGTCCCGCCCTAACACTAGAATTCCTAACTCAGGGGCAAGGAATTTCACAAATTTGATAAAGGCACCCTTGCTTATCATAATCATGCACTTAGTTTATCTGCTAAATACCCAGGAGCGGAGAATTTAGGAAGAGGAACCTTTGCTCATTATAACTATGCACTTAGTTTGTTTGCTTAATATCCAGTAGCAGAGAAAAGAGGTTTTAAAAAATAATAATAATAATAATGCAGTTTCAATAAATAATAGAGCCTTACCAAAACAAGAACCCCTGACCCACGGGCTACGAATTTCACAATTTTGAAAGAAGTATCCTTCCTCATCATAACCAGGCACAACCAAGGGACAGAAAGATTTTTAAAGAATTCATCCATTTTTACTATATGGTCAATAGAGCCCCATCTTAAATCCAGAACTCCTGACCCTCGGGCTATTAATTTCACAGTTTGGTAGAGGGCTCAATGCTTATTACATGTACAATCATGCCAACAGTTTGACTGATGTCCAGGAGTAATGAGGAAGATTTTTTGAAGATTGCATTTTTGTTCCCCTGTCCCCATATATGTGCAGTATTCCTAAATCGGTTGAAATTGGTTCAACGGTTCCAGAGAGGAAGCTGAAAATGTTCAAATGTTAACACTCGACAGACAAAAACAGATATCAATAGGTCACCTGAGTGACTCAGGTGACCTTAAAATCATGTTTCTCCTTCAAAGGTTATTTGTCCTATAATGGGGCAACATTAAGGAGTGCAAGAGTTTGATTTACGCAATATTATGGACGATATATATTTAAATACTTCAAAATCAGAATATCTCTCTATCTATCTATATCGTCGTTAATGTCAATACCAAAAGTTATAAAAGTGTTGCTAGTACCTTGACTGGGCAGAACAATGAATTTAATTTTAAAATAAAGTAGACAAAAATTGAAGTCAAGACCAAATCAACCTCTGACAATTACTATCATTAGACGAGAAAGAAAAGAAAACTATTTCCATTTTTATTTATATGTAATGTATTTATCAAATGACACGACAGATGATAGAACTTTTCAGAGACTATAAAATCTCGTCATTTAAGAAGTTAACTCAACGTTCTCAATAGAATGCTGAAGGTTTGTTCATAATTTCATTTTCATAACTTTAAAATGTTTCTCACATTTACATCGCTTATATACGAAACACATTATGTTCTCTAGAACATGTATTATGTATTTATCAAATGTACACGACAGATGATAGAACTTTTCAGAGAAAATAAAATCTCGTCATTTAATGCACAAGAAGTTCACTCAACGTTTTTAACAGAATGCTGAAGGTTACAGATTACATACATATGGTGAACTGAAATTTTAAACACTTATCGAAATACCATCAGAGACGATATACATGTACAGATAACTGATTTTATTGTTTAGAGTAGTACTTAGTAGAATTCATCTGACGGAGCAGCGTTGAAGGTATTCCCAATCTCCGTGGAGAGATCCTTAAAACTGGGTCTGTGTTTCGGCTTTGTTTTCCAGCATCTAGTCATGACTCCGTAAAAGCTACATGGAGATAAAACAACGTTATAAGAAATAGAAAGAGGAATAATTATGGAGAGAAAACAACGTTATAAGAAAAAGAAAGAGGAATAATATGGAGAGAAAACAACGTTATAAGAAATAGAAAGAGGAATAATTAGGGAGAGAAAGCAACGTTATAAGGAATAGAAAGAGGAATAATTATGGAGAGAAAACAACGTTATAAAGAATAGAAAGAGGAATAATTATGGAGAGAAAGCAACGTTATAAGGAATAGAAAGAGGAATAATTATGGAGAGAAAACAACGTTATAAGAAATAGAACGAGGAGTAATTATGGAGAGAAAGCAACGTTATAAGAAATAGAAAGAGGAATAATTATGGAGAGAAAGCAACGTTATAAGAAATGGAAAAAAGGAATAATTAGGGAGAGAAAAGAACTTTATAAGGAATAGAAAGAGAAATAATTATGGATACTAGTACATTAAGAATGGCATGCTTTTTCAAAAATAACAATGTTCTGGACTTACAAATCATTTGCAAACTCTGGTCTCTTCATTCGATGGCCATTTCTGACTTCAGTTTGTACATCTCTACTGCGCATACCGGAGTTTCCCTTGAATTAAAAATTAATCAAACCATTAGAACCTCACCGAGACGCTCTTCAGTAATCACAATGTCGACCTGTCTGTCTGTCTTTCTAACATATGAAATGCAACACTTTGTGTATTATTTACATGAAGTCACCAACAGATTTTGGGATCATTTGGTTAAAAGTCAAGGAGATTTATAAGTGCTATGACAATTATACTTCAATGTGGTGCAAAAAAGCATACGAATTCAACGCCTTTTACTTCAAAGAGGATGTTAAAGACATCAATTAATTTTGAGGGTCACTTGGTCAAAGGTCAGATCCAGATTCTGATGTAAAGATTATTGATAAGGCCAATGTGATGCAATTACTTTAAAAATTTGTGAAGTACAAAATTCATCATAACTACATATTTTTGGAAAAAATCTTGGAAGCAAAAAAAAAAGAAGTTCGGATTACCTGTATTTATTTGACTTAATTATTATAAACAATTATCTATTTAATTTATAGACACAACCTATTTAGTAATTACATAAAGAATAGTTAACTGAAAACGGATATTAAATTTATCAATAACTTACAAAGTTGAAAACCAGAGAGTTGCAATTATTGATACATATATTGAACACAGTTACAATTATTGATACATATATTTAACACTTAGGTGATGAAGAAGTTAACTGTTCTGATTTGAAAGTAGTACAGTTTCATGAAATAAAAATTAAACAAAGACACCTGAGGATTTTAAGGCAATTAAGTCAAAGGTCTTGATCAAAGTTATTAATTTTCCTATCAATATACCTGTATGTGCATAAAATGTCTTAGAATATTGAAGTTTTAACGGCAAAATTAAAAGAGACTGTGGTGATTTCAAGGTCAAGTACAAAATTTCAAGATTCAAAAGCGGGGAGGGGGGGGGGGTGTATGGTTTCTTAATTTAGACACAAACATGTCATACGCTAGGTTGAGATTTTAAAATATGATTATAATTCTTACGTACCCAAACTAAACACTTCCCACAAAACAACTCCAAAGGACCATACATCACTTTTACTTGTGGCGGATTTCAATGAAATCAAACATTCCGGAGCTGCCCATTTTACTGGTATTCTTTCCTGAAATAGTGTGTTCATTACTTTTAAGTTCACTCTTAAATGACTGGTTACATACTTAGAGGAGGAGGCCCATGGGCCTTGACAATCGATCTCCTCTATCAGGAGTTTCTCAACCTATGGCCATTTGGCTCTACCCGGAACTGAAACTTTCGACTCCTGACAAAATTTTTACAATTTGTTAAGGACTTTACAATCATTATTATTATATCAGACAGCTTGTCTTCTATAAATAGTAATAAAGAAAACAAGCTGTATGATGAATTTTATTATACATGTATGATCAATTTATGCCTAACCTTAGGCCTGACTCCTGGATTGGGGTACACGAATTAGGTATAGTTTGTTAAGGGTTAGACGCTTATTACAATCATGCAAATAATTTGCCTGCTTAATGTCCATTACCAAATGAAGATTTTCAGAGGTGTGATATACTTTCAGTGTTTATTTAAATGATAAAAATAATTTGAGTAGAGAAGATATTCAAATATATAATATTTCTTCAACATATGACCAAGGGTTAAAGCTAATGACCCAGTGGCCACGAAATTCATATATATATATATATATATATATATATATATATATATATATATATATATATATATATATATATATATATATATATATATATATATATATATATATATATTAAAAATAGCCATGCTAACAGTTTGCCTGCTAGATGTCCTTGAGTAAAGAAGATAATTTTAAAGATACGAGGCATTTTCAAAGACCAATTTAGCCAGTTCAATTTTACAATTTTAATAAAGGGCTCGTTAGTTTTTATAATCATACAAACGGTTTGCCTTTTAGATATCCATGACTTAATACTTTTGAAGATTGCATTAATTTTTCATTTTTTTTAAGGTTTTAGCTACAACCCTCTGGCCCAATTAAAGGCCATGAATTTGTTCCCTTTGTTCTATGTTGTTTCTTTGCTATCTACCAAAATTTGTTAATTAATATTAGTTCAACCATTGAAGAGAAGAGAGAAGAGAAGAAGTTCAATTGTTAATGGACGAAGACAGATGATGCCATATAAAAACAGATTAAAATACATGTAGGTCACATGAGTGACTCAAGTTACCTAGAAAATACCTGTCCAAAAATTCATTTACATGTACATATGTATGTCGTTATGTGTACTACAGCCAAGATTTAAAAGAAAGATACTAATTTTTTTTGTCGTTGTTGAAGTATGTTTAATGTGTTAATCATAAAGCATGTTGGATACAGTCATACTGGTGTTATATGAATTTATTATGGTCCGAATTAGAGGGGCTATTAACCTTTTCGTCTGATGTTGCATCTTTTTCCTCCTCGTTGCCTTTTTGCTGCGGTGGTTCAGGTCCGAATCCATAGATCTTGGGCTCCAGATCTTCAGTCAACAAAATATTTCGTACAGCAAGTCTTTTGTGCACAAGCTGAAATGTGTAAAAAATAATCATTGTGCTGATTTTCTGGTCAAACAATTTTAAATATTTCATACAATATACATGTATTTAAAACCCCTGCATGAAAAGGCCACCAATCATGGGAGAGCCTTTTTTGACTCGAGGAATGACATTCCCTTAGAAATTCCGTAGACAATTCGATGTAACTGTTCCTCTGTGTCTTCTGCCCATGTATTTTTCTTTTGTAGCAACCAATCTCGAAGTTGCCCTTTTTCACAGTATTCTAGAACCATGAACGGCCCAACTGCAAAATATGTGAATAAACTTTATCATTCTTTTTAATAAGCAAAATTTGATGGCCTATTAAATGTTACTTTTGAAATGCATCCTTTTTAATTTATCTTCCCAATGTTATCTTAATAATAAAGAATGATGACCAACATGCTTCATTATCGACGACAGCGCCAATGAAATGGACGATGTTTGGGTGTTCTCCAACTTCTTTCCCAAAAAAGTTTATTTTTGCTTTCATCATCAGCATGTTTTCTTCACTGTATCCACCTATAATGACAAAGGGGTGAAGTAATAATTAATTGAGCATTTATTTTCAGTCAAATGCAAAGTTTTCTTCACTTGAAATTGTGATAAACCTATACTGATATAGAAAAGGAAAAAAGAAAAACAGATAAATCTAAACCTCAATTGTAAACATTATCTTGATGAATGGGCGTGAAGCATTTAGTAAGCAAACATAAATACTCGTATATTGATCTTCTACAGTACATTTATACATTTGTGTGTTGAAACAAAATTTAAATTCTGAACGAGGGGAATACTTCTCGTTATTAACTGACTGTTGTTTGTTCTCGGGCTTAATATCTTCTTTAAGATTTTATATGTAGTACATACTCAAATTAGGAGTGTGTAAGACCTTGCATTATACTTTAATTATACGAACCCACAGCTACTCACAAAGCTTTAATATAAAACACTACATTCTTTGTCAGTACGTCACAAACAGTGTACAATGTAGGTCATATATAGCATTCGAAATTGAACACCATGCATTTTAACAAACAATATATACAGTTCAAGGTAGAACTTGGGGATATTCAGATGATCAACCATCCAAAAAATTATATGTAACCTGCAGTATTTGAAGCATGTCAGGTAGTATGCTTAGTGAGATGTAGTATAAATGTATCTTCATTCAAAAAAATACTTGGGAGTTGATATTCTCCTAATATACTTGATCACGGATCCAAACAGATAATTCAAATCTCGATAAATAATCGTAATCTTAGTAACAATATGCATGCAAGTTTCATGAACAAAGGGGTTATAGCTATTTGGAATAGAACAGACTCGAATTAAATCTGACATCGCACAAAATATAATTATGTCTCAAGCAGCATTTGAAACCTTACTGCACATCTACAACTTAAACAAGACACTATCAACCATTATGATTAAAGCATTATAAAGATCTTCGATCCTTCCTTGTAAGCCCCTGAGCTAGAGGAACATTTGGATATCTTTGTATCTAACAAGACCGATCGCGTTCCAAAAAAGTGCGCGCAAAACATTTTTATAAAGAAAAATGAAGTAATTTTAGTCTTATGTTATAACCTATTTGTTACTGATTATATATATATATATGATTTTTATGTAAAGTCTTACTTTTCAAAGTCTTTGCTACGACTATTTGTTTGCTCATATTATTTTGTGGTTGGTATCTGGCCTTATAAATGTCCGCAAATCTTCCGCTCGTTAACATGGCATCCAGCACAATGTCAGCACTCGGTACTATCCAATTGTCCGTTTTATTGAAATCCATTTGGCCATATATGTATATATCATCACAATCATAGCCAGGATTCTGCAGACAGAAGAGTTATAATATATGCATACTGAGAAAAAAAAAATCACTTCAAACTTCACTACTCAAAAACATATGGATTATGTATTTATCACCGATTGAATACTTACATGTGCTGTTAATCGATTTGCGATGTTCTTTCTGACTACCGTCACCCTGCGTTGAATGTCTTCTCTCACAACAGTTAAACGTCCAAGTCGCCAAAGAACCACCATAGCAGCAATTACTCCCAACATGATTAAAAATGCTGAAATCAATGCTCTTAGGTATATTAATTATTGCATATTCCGATATCTGGTAAAGTTACCATACTAATATATATATATATATATATATATATATATATATATATATATATATATATATATATATATATATATATATATATATATATATATATATATATATATATATATATATATATATATATATATGGGCTACATCTACAAGAACTGATACCTGACCCAAATTTGTATTGTTTAAACAGACTTTTGAGCATGATCACTGCATGTTTATTTTTATATTTCATTCATGAACCATATTTATCTATACTCTATCTACATAAGCAGATACAAGTGATCAACAAATGTGTCTACACAGACTGATATAAATGGTATTCTGTGTTTAAATAAATTGATATCTATGGTCTAGATTGATCTATACTATGTCTGGATAAACTTAAAACTTAATGACCAAGTTTAACCTATTCTGTGTCTACACAAACTGAAATATGACCAAGTATTATCCTATTCTCTAGCTACACAAACGAACATGCGACCGGGGTTAACAGTGTCTACAAGAGTGGGTATCTATGGCCCAGTTTAACGTGTAAACTGTGTATAACTGATATGTGTGACCTAGTTTTACCTGTATACTGTGTATAACTGATATCCATGGCCAAGTTTAACCTGTATATTGTATATCACTGATATCTATGGCCCAGTTTAACCTGTATACTGTGTATAACTGATATCTATGACCTAGTTTTACCTGTATACTGTGTAAAACTGATATTTATAACCAGTCTTACCTGTTTATTGTGTATAACTGATATCTATGGCCCAGTTTAACCTGTATACTGTGTATAACTGATATCTATGGCCCAGTTTAACCTGTATACTGTGTAAAACTGATATCTATGGCCCAGTTTAACCTGTATACTGTGTATAACTGATATCTTTAACCCAGTTTTACCTGTATACTGTGTATAACTGATATCTATGACCTAGTTTTACCTGTATACTGTGTAAAACTGATATTAATAACCCAGTCTTACCTGTATACTGTGTATAACTGATATCTATGACCCAGTTTAACCTGTATACTGTGTATAACTGATATCTATGGCCCAGTTTAACCTGTATACTGTGTATGACTGATATCTATAACCCAGTTTTACCTGTTTACTGTGTATAACTGATATCTATAACCCAGCCTTACCTGTATACTGTGTATAACTGATATCTATGACCTAGTTTTACCTGTATACTGTGTATAACTGATATCTATGACCTAGTTTTACCTGTATATTGTGTATAACTGATATCTATGACCCAGTTTTATCTATGATCTTCATCTGTCTTCTGTCTTCATTGAGAAATACTATATTGTTTTAACCATGTTTGATTCATGACAGAGGTGAAGATAACGAACTGTGATCAATCTCATAAATTCTATAAACAATACTAATCGTGATCAGGGCGAAAACACAGACCTCTGGAAACACCAGAGATGGGATTGAGTCACATCTGCCTTTGGATTAATTAATCGGAGTAGTAGTTAACATTATTGAAAAAAGTCTAACAATTAATTGCATGGTATGAAATGTCAGTATAATCCAAGGATAGGTTATATTTGCAAACTAGGTCATTATACCCATAGAATTTGCGAAATGCTGACTTCAGATAAGTCTTTAGAAAGCCCTGTAACATCAACATATTTGTCATAAACTTGCCTAGAGTTAAAAAATGTTCACACTCAGAAACTGCTCTTGCGTACGGAAACAAACACTTCGCAGGTGATAGAGGAGTATTATTACATAAATAGGCATAGGCGTCGGAAGCAAATTTAAAGTGGGGTTCTAATTGAAAGGGTGGAGGGCTAAACCAACAAAAAAGGTAAGCCCTAATTTTCAATGCCTATATTATGTCTATCTTTGCAAAAAAAAAGTGGGGGGGGGGGGGCTAACCCCACCCCCCGGTTCCGACGCCTATGATAGGGGAAGTTGATGATGGAAAAGTTGAAGTTCATCCCCTTTAATTGTCATTTTGCTTAGTTGCTAGTTGACATCTATAGTAAGTCAAACATCAACATAGGGAGTACATTACTGATGTGGCAGATTCTGTGGTGTCTTTTATTTTGGTTTCACTGGGGATATATCGAGTTGATATATAAATGAAAGTAACCTATAATAATATATCTAAATGTTTAACTGACAACCACGCCAAGCAGTTCCTTCTTCTCATGTAGACGTTCTTGAAAAAAAATCTGCTACAACAGGTCAGTCGAAAAAGGGGCACAAGTAGAGCCCATTGGAATTCCAACAAACTGTTGGGAAACCTTGTCTCCAAAGACTACATAAATTTGATCAATCATCTTTTTGATATCAGCTTCAGAGTACTTTTGCGTATGGTCAAAAAGCTTTTTAACAAAGTAATTTTGTAGTTAGATGACCAATCACAAGATATGAAAAGAAAGAGGGTGTACAAGGCGAGGACAACCCCCCGCTCCGAGACACTATATTTCTCAATTTTCAAAGTTCACGGAAAAGTTTTATTTCTCTAAAATTATGTTTTCAGTAATGTCATCTTCAATACATTTGATTCATTAATTTTATTGAACGACTAATTAATTGATGATGTGTTTTAAATGTAAAATCTATTTCATATTTAAAAAAAATATGAAAATCGAACATTTCTGAAAAAAATCATACGCTTCAATAAACTCGTTTACTTAAATCACGCTGACACACATCGAAGACAAATAGACTTTGTAGCTTAGTGGTTAACGCGTTTAGTCATACGCCTAACCTTGAGCTTTGGAGAGAGTTCGAATCATGTGTGAAGCCTTTTTTTCTTTTCACATACTTTAAAAACATGAGTGAAAAATAAATTATTGATCAATAATTTATTCAATAAAATATTAAAAGGAAGTAACTTAGCAAAAGAAGATATTGAGAATATAATTTCTAAAAAATAGAACTTTTCATGAACTTTTAGAATTGAAAGATGTCTTTTCTCAGAACGGGGGGTTGTCCTCGCCTTGTACGCCTCCATCCTTTCTGAGTCCCATTTTTATTGAAGAAGCAGTTGTCTGTGATGTCAAAAAGCCTGCTCTTTGATTTATCGGGAGGAATGTTTGGTTAATTGTATTAAGTGCTGAAAGGTTATGTCCTATGATATTGACTTTGGAAAAAAATTACGATTCCATTTTTTTTTTGGGGGGGGGGTTGAGTTTTTGAGAATCCACAACATGTTAGAAAAGAGAAACTTCAACTTAACTGATATGCTTACTGGAATTATTTATTTATGTATGTTATTGTTTGTTGTATTCATGACTTTATGCCAATGTATGATGGCGTTGTCAATAAATGAATTAATACGTTTTGAAAACGTGAAAAATATCATCACCAAACGTAATTAAAATGAATTTTCCAAAAAATTCAGCTTTAGATAATGAACCAAACCTTTGTTGGTTACTCAATACTAAAGAGAATTTGTGGGCAAATTTATAACAGATAACATGTTATAGTAGTCATATACTTTTAACATTGTATTCTTTTTTAACCGGAAATGGTATTGTCATAAGATCATTGTTAAACTGAGCAATGTCATACACCTGTTGTTATACTCCTGTATTTTCCTTATTATTGTAATCATTTCATTTTTGTCAGTTTTGGGCTCTTAGTAAGAAATATATATTCTGATTATAATTGATTCATTTTACAAATATCGGACAGAAACCTTACCAAGTCACTGAACCGTTTATCAGTTGCTGGAAACTTGTCACGGTATTGTTTTAAAAAAGCATCGATGAGGGAAAATCATGTTGTATTGGTGTTTTGTGATTTATCAAAAGTTTGATAGAGAATGCCATAAGGCTCTTTTATTCATATTACAAACAAATGGATCGAAGTTCTGGCAATCTTTTTGAATGATTTCATGGCTATCAAAAAGTAAAACATACGGATACTTTGTCTTCTTAACAGAATATATTAATGTTGGGGTATTCTAAGGCTCAGTCCTTGGTCCCTTTAATATACGTAATTGATGTTTCAGAAAATATGTTGTCTCTCTGCAGATACGTGCGGATGAAAATTCAATAGAAATTTCCTCCTCATATGTTGTTGACATACAGTATAATGTTAACCATAATCTAAAGGTTTAGACAAATGGTCAGAAAAAAGATTAGTTTCAAAATAGTAAATGCTTGATATAGATTAAAAGTGTAATATACTGAGTGTGCGAATGTTTGTATAAAGAAAATAAAGAGCTAGCGAGCAGCATATATGTTTGTTGATTATTTATAGCACTTAATTAATTTATATTCGGACGAACGAAGTGAGGAAGAATATAAAAGAGATTAAAATGCGATGCAGAACTCCGTGTTCAAATTCCCTTGTCGTCAAAAGTAAAAATAAAATAATAATACAGACTGAAATAGCTTCCAACCCACGGGTGTACAATAACCTAAAACAGTCAAGAAAAAGCACGTGCTCGATTTTTTACACATAAATGTATCATGCACAGCAGAGACATACAAATTACATAACGTATTTGCACACATGCATGTTGAGTTTTTCCTGACAATGCAAACCGATGGAATATTGATCTATTCAAGGGTGGATCAAGATAATTTTCACCTGGTGGGTGGGGAGTCGCATGGTAAAATAGATAAAAAGATATACTAGTAGACATATATCACCAACTTGTTTTATTGGGTCGCAATAGCGAATTCTTTTTAATGATTATTTTTATCGATCACACATCATATATTTTAAATAAAGCTCGATGGAGGGGTCATTTAGGTCCACCCCCTTAACATTTTAGTTCGTGTGGACAGTGCTAATTAAAAAGGGTCGGGCTCGCGATACAAGATGGATGGATGTTGATGGTAATTTAGGAACAAAACTGAGCATACATAAAGTTATCTGACCAAATTTCAAGAAAAAGACTTCAAAAGTAGGTTAGTAATTCAAATTATGAAAAAAAAAATAATGGTTCCAAAATTTCATGGTTGTTCACACTCATCATGCTCACTGCATCAGTTAATGGCACCTAGAGAAACACTAAAGTTTGAAGAGGGTGTGATCAAAATAAATATATGTATGGTAATTTACATATACTTGTACAAGTTCACAAAGGTCTAGAACGATTTTTAAAATATTTTTCTCATTGGATGGGACATAACAGCTTTATAACCTAGGGAATGGAAACCTTTGGAATAAGTATGAAGCTGGTCAGCATAGATATTGGGAAACTGTGTAACCTGACAGGCTCACTAATATAAAGTTATCAATAGATCTTAATGCAAGTTTAACAGCTTTACCCTGGGCTGTTATTCAAAGAGAATTTGAATTTGATTAATCTCTGAAATATCTGAGCACATGAGCACTTAGAGTAATTACTTTAATTAAAATATTTTAAGTTTATAAGTTCTTTGTGAAATGAAAATTATGATAGTGGTTCAGAAATGAGAGCATGTATTATATATGACTTTTAAGGGTTGATATTATGGTGGTCAGGCAGATTCAATTGCCGGTGGCCAAATAGTTCAAATCATTGACTAGTGATTCTGTGGTTTAAATCCTGATCTGGCCTCATTTTTCTCCTTTTCTGTGTGGCGGTCAGACAGGTTCAGTTGCCGGTGGCCAGATAGCTTTTTTTTCTCCTCTCCTGTTACATTTGGTGCCATGACATGCCCTTGAAGTGACAGGGAAGAGACTGGGTTGGTGTCTTCATGGGCCAAAGACCTTTAAGGAGGAAGAAATGTGGCGGTCAGACAGATTCGATCGCTGGTGGCCAGATAGCTCAGTTGGTAGAGCACCTGACTTGAGATTCAGGGGTCCTGGGTTTGAATTTTGGTCTGGTCCATCACATTTTTCTCCTTTCCTGTTACATTTGGTGCCTTGCCATTCCCTGGAAGTGACAGGTGAAAGACCTGCTAGGGAAGAGCCTGAATTGGTGTCTTCAGGGGGGCCAAAGACCTTAAAAGAGGAAGGAATGTGGTGGTCAGACGGTGGCCAGATAGCTCAGTTGGTAGAGTACCTGACTGGAGATTCAGGGGGCCTGGGTTTGAATCCCGGTCTGGTCCGTCATTCTCCTCTCCTTTACACCTGTTACATTTGGTGCCATGACATGCCCAGGAAAGTCAGGTGAAAGTCCTGCCAGGGAAGAGCCTGAGTTAGTGTCTTGGGAGCAAAGAGGAATGGGGCAGTCAGGTAGATTGGATCACTGGTGACCACATAGCTCAATAAAGCACCTGACTAGTGATTCAGGGAGCCCTGGTTCAATCCTGGTGTGGTCTGTCGCATTTTTTCCCACAATGGTCACAATAACAAACCCATCAATGATGGCCTTACTTTGCCCTATAGTGATTTGTGCAATAGTTGAAAGTACAAAAAGACTTTTTATTATATATGTGATTTATCTCAAAATGGAATTTCATGTAAACTGAATCTTAAAAGTATTTTTTTTTTGTAACATTTACAGAAGACATTTTTTTAATGACTGTGGTGTAAAGCATATGAATTAAGCTGTCTTTATTTTCTTTCCAAGACAGAAATACATTACTTATCCAGTAATTCATTTTTCAGGAACTGAACCACAAATTGCTTGTTAGTACATGTACATGTATTGTGTTACTTATCAACAATTTATAAAATTTACTGTGTATCTATTCATTTGGAAATAAAATCCTTCAGTCTTAATAAAATATATTTCATATAAATAATACATTGTGTAATATAATCACCACCTTTCTTCTTACATTCAGATTAAATTAATTTTAGATGACATGGTATAAGAGTATATGAAGTTGTCTTGTAAGGCCAAACAAAAAAATATGTGTGGTTCCGGTTACACCTCCAAAAAAATTAGGGTAGGTAGGTAGGGATTTTTTTTTTTTTTTTTTTTTTTTTTTTTTTTTTAAACAAAATGATTTTTTTAATTTTCTAAATAATGCCTATTACTGTTTTGCAAATGACATTTAGATGTGGTGTGATAATATAAACTGTATTGGTAGGGGACACGGTCACACCTACGTGCTAGCTTGCTTTGGATTTAACACTATTAAACACTTGCACAATGTTGTGCAAGGAGGCCATCATTGCTAAAACTTAAACCAGAGCCATTGATGGAAATCGGGGAAAATTACGGAAAAAATATGAAAATTGCCAAAAAAAAGTTTAGGGTCGGGGGTATAAAATAGGGATGGTCGGGTAACCGGAACCACACATATTTTTTTATTTGGCCTAAGACATAATTAGTATGTTTCTGATACACACTTATTACTGCATGTAAACAACTGGTAAATATAGCTCAGTCTGTTATAAAAAATACATTCAGGTATAAAGTACAAAAAAGATTCTGATTTCTCTACTGAGCTAATGATAAAACAGATCTCTCAGAGACCTATCCTAAAACTAAGACATCACATTTACGGCAAGCATGACTGCCATCCAAGTCTAATTACACTATTATGCTCTAAATAAGTTATATATTACATTATTATACCCATTCTGAGCACATTTTCTTGTTTAAATGGACTCTGTTCTTATGACACTCTCAGTCTTTTTGATACTACTGTAAATTTACACATACATGTAATAGTAACTACTGCTCGTATTGTTTATCTGAATCAGTTTGAGTTAAATTATGTAGAAAGAACTGGCCTGTTTTGATTTATAATCCACATAACCATAAACGTGTTAAAACCTACATCAAATAATTTTAACAAGACTCAATCATACAAACTCTAACAATGAGCTAGCTTTGTTAATTTCGAGATTAAATCATTTACAAATTGGTCTTCCAATGTTTAAAAGAACTATAACCGTAAATTCAGGAAAACTATTTAAAAAAAAAAAAACCAGTTTAATATTACTTAATTTGTTTTTGGTAAGATATTCAAATATCCAAATCAACATACTAACTGGTCTGGAATTCCTACCCCATTTATGAAATAAATAGTTTCAATCTTATTAATACTGATAAACTTTGTGTCTGAGGAACACCAGGATTGGAAAATGATTCAAAACGAGACTTTTAACAATATGTCCAATTACACAGCTGTTTTTCTGATGCTACAAACATAATGCTATGGCTTATTGCTATAGTTTGTGATGATTAATGATTTCTTGGTTATGAGAACAATAATTAATGATTGGTCAGATAGCTGTCTCTCTTCCTATTGGATAACTGTAAGCAGAACTAGCCAATGAGGGATTAGAGCCACTGTAAGTAGTCCTAAATGTATCCCTACGCATTCTCTCGGGTGGATTGGACATTGCACTAGGATCAGTAGACACCATTGTCTGAAAGAAGTGTCTCACAACAAAGCTTTTGTCTGACTGGATAGACACTTGATCTCCATCACTGAAAGGCTTGACCTGAGGTTTAGATGATTTCTCGAATTCTTCATTATGGCTGGTGACATCAGAAGCAGGTGATTTACAGAGGTGAAACTGTCCTCCTGGTTTATTGTTTTTCCTCCTTCGACAGATAATGAAGATAATGATGGCCACAAGCAGACACAGGAGAACTGCTCCGACGGCGAGTCCCACAGCCAGTCCCGTATCCGCGGAGGCCACTTGTTCCATGGGTTTACATGTGTTGATTTCATCTGCAGTCAGGTCTGTGATTGGACGCTGGGTTAAAGATAGCGGTGACATGCACAGAGGGGCCTGACATTCTACAGGAAATTGTACAGGGTTACAACTACGCGTCCAGAATCGCTCAAGCCACTGCTTCAGGGGAGCAATACGGCAGTCACAGTGCCAGGGGTTCTCATAAATATAAAACTTACTTATCATTGTTAAACGATCTAGCAGACCTTGCGGAAGAAAAGGGAGAGAATTTCGGGAAATGTCCAATTGAAACAGGTAGATTTCCTTGAACTGGTCCTCACTCAAACTATTAAGTGCACACGCAGAAAGGTTCAGCTCACGCAGAGAAAAAATACCGCGAAATAATTCTCGTGGGAAAGTACCGATGGGATTCTGAGCCAGATTGAGACTGTTGAGTGATTTTATTTGCTTGAACGCAGACTCACCAACATTTATGATTGCATTGTTTGAGAGATTCAGATGTTGCACACTTGATCCACTGAACAAGATGTTAGTCACTTGATCTAGCCTGTTTGAAGCTAAATCTAATGTATCTAGATTCATATTTGAAAACTGTCCATCTGCCAGACGAGTAAATCCATTTCTATCCAAGAAAAGAAAACGGAGTTGAGGAAAGGCTTGGCGAAGTTGAGAATTTGAAGGCAATTTAGTTATGGCATTTTCTCCCAAATCAAGTAATTTCAGTTGTCGAAGAGAAAGAAGCATGCCCATTGTGTTTAGTTCACAGCCCCTCATATACAGAGTCTGAAGGGAGCTAGACAATCCGCTGAAGGAGTTCACTGTCAAACTCTGGAATTCGTTCCCATCCAGCTGAAGGTATTGTAACTGTTTCTGAGCACTGAAGGCACCACTGCGTATGGCTGTCAGTGAGTTTCTGTTGATATAAAGCATTTGAAGTCGGTCAACAGAATAAAATACTTCGTCAATATTTTGTATGCCATTATGTGACAAGTCTAACTTTGTCAGCTGGGTCAATCCTCGGAAGGCATTTTTTGATATTGTACGCAAATTATTGCGAGTAAGGTTTAATGTTTGAAGATTTCTCAATGAAGAAAAAGTCCCATCATCTATCCTTTGAATGTAACTGTTGTAGATCTTAAGATTATTGATCACACTATAAGATGTGTTGAAGTCTAACGAGGTCAAAGAGGATGAGGTCGTTTGTTTGACCTCTAGTCTCATGGTCCCTGGTGGAAGGTTGCTCATCACATCATTCATTGCAACTTGCTGACATCTGACTTCGGACCACCGTGAACAGTCACAGTACTGTGGACAAGGGTAGACAAGTTGTACGCATACTGACAAGATGAACAGGATCTCATATGTATTTCTGCAATTCATGGCTGAACCTGGAAATACATGTATCGTGTATACGATATTTTTTCAATAATGGGACCAATTTAATCAAATTGCATCCTGTTACCTATAATATATAGACTCCTAGTGCCTGGTGGCACATAGGGCCTCCACAGAGAATCAAATAACATTAAAAATAACACACACCCACACCCCCCCCCCCCCAAAAAAAATCAAGAGCAATAATAAAAGATTGGAGCATTTGATTAGCATGCAAAATGTTGGGACCAATTCCCCAAATGGGATATAATAGGTTGTTTGGGATATAATAAATTTACCGTGCAGAAAATAAAACATTTTATTTTGCCTATAAATATTGTAAATCTGCATCATTCAATGCAATAACTTTTGGAAAGCAAGTTTTTCTATAACCCAACAGTTTATGAGATTGAAAATGTTAAGAATCTTCTGAGGGATCAGTCTCCTACACAGTGAGGATATAGAGAAAAAAAAGTTAACCAAAAGGTTGTTGGTTTTGATTGCAGCCAAGTAAGACTCATAAAAAAAATTTCAATATCTTAATAAATACTTTTTGCTTAAAATTACTGAAATACTGACCTATGGCACCATCCATAGGAAAACTGTCTTGAGATGTATGCAGTTTGGTTGTAGGTCACTTGCAATAGCTATACAGCTAAAAAAAAAAAAAATTCATTTCTTGCTCTACTAATTTATATCTCAATTGGGATATTATATCCGAAATTGTGTTTTATATCCCTTTGAGCAATTTTCTCCACATGTACAAGTAAAGAGAAAATGTATGATCCGCCACCAGGCAATTTGACCTATGTACACATATACTCTTTTTTAAATTTTGGTTTTGTTATAATTATTTTCAATTTTGGTATTATATCTTAACTATGCTTATTAAATTGAAGGAAAATATAACGTGTGTGTTTATATATACCTTTTGTGTACCTGTCCGAAATCACAGGTGCGAAACAGGTGCGCTTAAGTATCAAGGCATCATTTCAACATTTTTTTTATCTTTGAAAATTCACTTGCTTCTCTACATGGACAAAGTTTTTAATTTTTCGTAGACTTCCGCCTCACCGATTTATCGTTTTTCATCATCATGTCTGTTCGTCCGTTTTGTGACATCCGCCATCTTTTAAAATGCACAGTCACGGTCGAGTGAGCCAAGAATGAACTCGAGCGATGTGAAAGGTAATGTTGACAAGTATTTTGTCAGGGACAGTAGGACAGGTGTCTTAAAATACCGACATCGTGAGAGGTTTGTCAAAATGCAGAATCCCACTTGATAAGTTGTATCTTATGAATGAAAACCAATTTATCGTTTGTTTATAAATGCACACGATCACCTATGTTTTTAAAAAAGATTCCTGTGATCGACGTAACTTCATTAGAAGTGAATCATGTGTGAAAGTGTAGGCGAATGGTGAACCCCGCCCATTTCCCCAAATTTTCAGAATTCCCCACTGTATAATGCATTGTAAAAACTTAACACTTGCAATATATTCATACATTCAACTGATTTATATGTGCAATTGTTTAGCTAAAAAAAGGAAAAGGGGGGGGGGGGGGGGGTGTAGCCATATAATACTTTGCAATGGCAAACATAAGCATTGGGACTGTTATAGGCTAGAAATATGTACATGTAGCATGTATACAGTTTACTGAAACTTCTGAATGTGACAAGTTGTTTTGTGTGTGCATAAGAGAATAATGTAGAATTGATTCAGTTTCAGTGTCCGTCATGGAAGAAGAGGAGTCCCACGGGTTACAGAATGTATTTCGTCATAAAACCCCCACCCCCTTCCAGCCCTTGGTTGTGTTGGAGTTTGCTACGGGAGCTAAACAACCAGCCATAGAGTGGATGATATCTAAGCTACAGATGCCTGAGGCAGCGGGTGGGGCTGACCTGGAGGTCAGTGCCATGGTGATGACCTACAAACAAGTAAGTCAAAAGGTCAAGGTCATTCAGACTGAAATTTTTTTAAAGTATTACTGTTTTCTAAACCATACATTAACTTTATTAAATTGATCAAAGGTTTCACAAATGAATGGCATATACATGATAACAATTTGCTGATGCATACTTATCTTAGCAGGCACCATCGGTGAGTAGAGCATGACTGCATAAGCCATCAGATACATTGTATTCCTTGCCAATCTGTTGTATAGATCATTTACTCAATAGAATTATGTATTTTAAATAGTTTTCATTCACACATTGTGAATTAAATTGTGGTACAACATTTATTTGACTGAGGCCTACAGTACAATACACTTCTTTCTCAGTTGTTCAGGGCACTTTGTAAAACTTGGAACAATAAGAAAAGCCGATTCATCAGTGATATGTAGTTTCAGTTTGTGTTCAAAAGAAAATTAGAATGTTTTGATAAACAACTGTACAGTACTCATGAACAGTTATGTAAAAATATTATTTTAAGAGGAAGGAAGGGGTTTCGGAAAATGTATGTTGGGAAGGGGGGGGGGTTGAAAATATATGTTGGGAGGGGGGATTGAAATGTATGTTGTGGGGTTTGGTAGGGTAGGCAAATGCACAAGTGATAAATGTTCAGAGAATGGCTTAAAATTCTGACCAGTCATTCATACATGGCTATGTACGAGGGGTTATCAAAAAGTTCGTGGACTGATGCGATAAAATTATTATTATGTAGGCGTTGATTACAAAATTTGTAGGGAACATAAAACAACAAAAGTTGAAGAAGTGTTAAAAATTTCAGCTTGATATATTGATAATTTGCCAAATTATTCTTAAATAAAAAGGGCATTATATGATCACCCGGCGCTGTCGCCGTTTAGTTTCATGACGTCCGACAACGACATTATTTCTCAATGCCCGCTCTCTCTCTGCCTCAATACACTTATCTTGATGAGATTCTCTGGAGTAAAGTAAAGACCTAAACCCGTCTTGTTTTATATGACTTTACAATATCATTAACACCTGATTTCAATGCATTAATATTGTAAATATTAAACCTATTCATAGAAAAAAATCGTCGCTTGATTTTGTAAGCATAATTTTCTTGCCTGAGTTCATGTCAACCAATGATCAACGTCACTTTTCGATGTGTCTGACTTTGGACACCCTGACTACAAATCGACATTAACCGTGTGCCTCTTTTCTTGCTGAATCTGTTTTTGTATTTAAATACAAGTACTCTGGATGTATTTTATTTCTCTGTAGCCTGTTTAAACATTTTCAAGGTCTATGTCAGGTTTTCCAGGGTCTGAATCTTTATAGAATGTTGTAACATGACACCCTACCCCCTTTCGACGTCATTTTTAACCCCTTTATTGTTTGGACATTCCCTATAAAATTTACGATAATATTTCATAGAATATACAGAATGAGGTAAAAAATGCAACTTTTACGGAAAAATTGTATCATATCACATGAGTGAATTAATGGGATTTTCGGATGACAAATGTTCATATTAGAAAGAGTTTTTCTCAGTTACACTCAGGCAGAGAATACGTCATGTTCGAGGTTGCGCCGCCTTGACATACCATTGCTTGCAAAAACATTTACTATTCACTAAAAAATAATACTTATGATTTATAGTTTATTTTACAGATAGAAAAGAAGATGCTTATTTAATGTTTAAAAATTCATTGATGTATCTTAAGCGGTTTTAATTTTATGACGCTAGTCCACGAACTTTTTGATAACCCCTCGTAAACAGTAGCTTTCAGCATGTGTAGTTCCATTTAAGATTTGATTTAAGATACATGGTTTGTGTCCCACTAAAGCAAGCATAGACATACACCGTGGTGATTTTTATCACAAATAAAATATACCGAAATTAAAAAGGAAAATTCTGTGAAGTTTTCACTGATTTAGAAAAAAAATTAAGTGCAAATTCAGTTTTGATGTTACCATGGTTACAGAGTCATGACTATATAGAAATACATACATACTGACCAATAAAATTGAATTCAGAAGTAGCTGATTCCATTAAGATATATGTACAGGGATAGACATTAACTTTCAGATTCACTTGCCCTTCGGGCAAGTGATCTCAAACTTTGACTTGTCCGAATACAAAACTTGGTTGCCCAAAATTAGGAAAGAACTTACGACAAAAATTATTGATTACTGTAAACATTATGATAAGAAAAAATGTGACCAAATACACTGCTGTCAATTTGGCAATTTTAGCTACCTGAAAAAATGTCGATGCATGCTGCATTTGTACATAAATGTAAACCGCTGTACTTGTAAATTTAACCTGTTAACACACACTGCCATGCAACAATAACCCTCCGTTTCCTTTTAATAAAATTCATATTTTTAAAATTATTTTTGATAGGATCCTATTGTGATTAGTGATTTTCAGAGATAACTGTGAAGGAAACCTTAAGGAAGATACATCTTATCTTGATCAGGATACATCGTGTTACACTTTTATTCTGTGCTTGAATAGATAATCTAATTTCCTAAAATTTTGTTAGACGTATAGCATATTTACTACGAAAGAAAATAACGAACCCGATTTTTAAATGAGCAGTATAATCCAGAAACGCTACCAAGGAATTCCGAATCTAAAAACATTGTCAGTCCGGTGCGTGGCGGAAATCAAGTGTTCAATTTATTGTTTTATTTATAAATTAATACAAACTAAATAAAGAAGTACATTTGTATGAGAAAAATTCACTTGCCCGATCAGACAAGCACGTCGACAATTTCACTTGCCCGAACTGAGAATTTACTTGCCCCAGGCAATTGGACAACCGTTAATGTCGATCCCTGATGCATTTTGACATCAGTGGATAATCCCTAGCATAGGCCTATATGGATTTTTTAGTTCTATTTAGAAAAGTTTTGGATATTTTATGACAAGTTTTTCACTTCTGCAAGGCAGGATGGGTGAAAACTTGATGTAACAATTTTGAAATGTATAGAGAGGTTTTGGTTAACATTTAGATTAATCTTGGGTAACTTATTAATTCTGCATTGTATCAATGTCCTACACCAGTTTTTATACCAGTATTTTAATACTAATTAATATGAAGCATCACACTAATACATCACTTTTATGTAATTTATACCTGTATGTATATTTTTCCAAACTCTGTGGTGTTGCTGTACATGGTTATGGTTAATAATAACTATATAATTACATATTTAAAATCAATTCTTCAGTAAATTGCTCAGACAACGTAGAAGGAATGACTACTGGGTTGTCTGTGTATGCTGGTTTTTGATTTCAGTTCTTGCTCTTAAGACATTTTAGAATGGCTTCTGTAGAAGTTAACTTATCCATTGCCAAGTGAGAGTCATTCCTTTGTAAAATGAGAACATGATAACAAAGTATCTTCTTAATTAAACACTGGTCCCTCCAGGAAACCTATTCACCAGTAGATAGGGACAAACCCTCTCTATGTTAGGAAATGTACAGAGTCAGGATGGAAGAAAACAGCTAATGCTAGGGAAAGGGAGGGGGACTGTGTCTATAACTGAACTTGGCAGTGGTAGGAGATGTTATTTTAATTAATGCTTACTAAATCACTACCCCTTTCCTCGCCAAGCCCAAAGGTCTTCAGTCTTTTAGCCTGTTTTTATTTTGCTTGAGCATGTACAATCAATACTAATAACAGAGAAATCAATCAGAAGTACTTGTACTCTATGATTTTATTAGATTTGCTTGACTTTATACATGATTGGGGACATGACAATAGATCCACTCTGATTTTTAGCAAACTATGCTGTATGTTGGAGCGAAGGCGAGCCGCTTACTGACAGCTGCCGACATGACGGGTCTTTGTAAGATGTACAAAGATGGCCGTCATCGGGAATTCTCCATTGAAGACATGGACAATTTCAAGGGGATTGGTACGTAAAAGAAAAAAAGAAATATCCATCAGATGATTAGACCACATGGCATTCAAGAAATTTTCAAAGTAAACATCAAGAATAAAACATAGACAAAGAGAAGAATAGCAAGAGCACACTTGTAATATAGAAATTACTGATGTTTATGAGCGGATGAGTTACTATGGTAACATGATCTGTGTTACAGAGGACCCTGAGAGTTTCTTAACGACTGCAGAAAAACAGAAGTTGATTCTCCATGAGATTGAGGCGGTACGTGCTGGTGAGGAGGAAGATCATATCCCCGGATATGATAAAATCAAACTGTGGACAGGAAAAAGCATCTGTAAGTACATGTAGTTCATCATTACAGAAATGTGTCGCCGGTAAAACTCAGTTTGCGACCTTTAAATCGCAAATAACAATTGAGAAGATAGTTATTCCCTTATTATAATGATACTTTGACACTGTAGTGAAGAAGTACCTAAGTCGTGACATCATCACCAAGATGTACCCACTACATGAACCTGAGGAACTGAAAAAACTAGGGGCAGACTGGTATCAATTAAGTCGTGTGTTCAAGGAACAGCCAATAGGTATGTACAGTATTTAACAGGGTTAAAGTCAGGGGACAAAAAATGTTATGTCAACAAGAGACAGAATTGCTTTTGACTACCACACATAAAACCTGTTCCATGTTGTATATGAATACATGTACTTACTTTTTAAAAAAAATATTTTTGATGATAAACACAGATACATGTATTTCATGAAATTTCCAAAATGAAAAAAAGATATTTCAATTAATCCAAATTTATTTAGTTGCTCATATTCTGATAAACCATTTTTATTTTTTTAGAGAACTTTTTTTTTTAAATTTCAATTTTGTTTTATCTCATCTGTTCATAAACAAATCAGAAAAGCTAATGCCAGGGTAAAGTATTCACTGTGCATCTGTTGTACATGTAGATAAATTTTCAAATTATTATTCATTCTAGACTTTTAAACACATTCCAATGAATTTGGCACCAAGTATCCCAAACAGTATTTTATCAGCATTTGCTTTCACTGAATGGCATTGCCAGGGATAGCTGAAATAGAGTAATCTGTTTAAAATTCCTTCAGAATTCATACTCATCCTATTGGTTTTCAATTAAACTTGGTATACCAGTAAATATAGATTATTCATGCATATAAATTCGATAAACTTTAACACAAAAGGACTGTCAAGATTTATATTGTATATACATGTAATGTAATGTTTTTTGAGTTGCTTTCTAAACAAAAAAAAGAATGATAATTCTTTCAGTGCTACACATATCTACCTCAACTTTAATGAAATTTGGTACAAGGGTAGAATACACCCAGATACATAATTCTGTTCACCATATTTTAAATTTGTTCCATGGTCACTGAAATGGTAGAAGAAAACATCAGGATACAAAATTTTGTAAATTAAATCTCAAAAAGAAATGATATAGGACTATGTGCAAATTTTCTCTAGTCTTAGATTACTGTAAATTGCTATATTCTCATTAGAATCTTCTGGTAGAAGTAATTAAAATACGATTTAAAAAGCAGAGATAAAATATATTTCTTGCCTTTAGATGATATACGACACTACTTTGGAGAGAAGATAGGACTGTATTTTGCTTTCCTGGGTTACTACACCATCGCTCTGATTCCTCCAGCATTTATCGGAATCATCTACTTTATCACGTCCTGGCAGAGCATGTACAGGGAAGCCATTTTTGCCGTATTTAATCTTATCTGGGCCACCATTTTTCTGGAAGTCTGGAAGCGGTATTGCTCTGAACTGTCGTACCGCTGGGGCACAATTGACATGGTGTCCTCTACATATGATGAACCCCGCGCAAATTACTATGGAACGCTCGGTGAAAACCCTGTGACGGGTAAACCCGAACCTGTTTATCCTAAATGGAAGCGTAATGTCCGATTTTACTGCGTTACAGTTCCTGTTGTCTCGTTGGCCCTGGCAATCGCATTCTACCTCATGTTGGTGTATTTCGCCATGGAGGATTGGGCAGTGAAGAAGTATTCGTCAGAGAAATCATGGTTAAACTTCTTGGTGTTGCACCTCCCCACAGCTATCTATGCAATAGTGATTGCCATTGTGAATGCAATTTACAGGAAGTTGGCAAAGAAACTCAATGATTGGGGTAAGCCATAAAGAGTGAAACTTAACAACAGGAATTAAATTTAGCTTTATTACTTTCTTTTTGAGCAGCACTATTCTTCAGTATTTAATATTCAGGGAATGGTAGGATTTTCATGTAAATTTGAATCTGTACTACATCTGGAGACTTTCATAGGAAAGTAGGTCTAAAGTCATCAGAATTTTTCCAAGTGCAGTATTATAAATGTGATATTCCTGGCATTAGTTTCTAGTTTTTCTTCAGTGATTCCTAATTTTTTCCTAATTTTTTTGTTTTAGAAAATCATCGATTACAGTCAGCATATGATAACCATTTAATTGTCAAACTTATTCTGGTAAGTAAAGAAAATAATAATCATGTTCCTAGGTTCCTAAAATTATTTATATAAGGTAAAATTTGCTTACTTGTAACAGATTCAAGTTACTCCAAATACTGTAAACATACTTTAGCTGAATCAGGATTTTTGTAAAATACACACACAGAATTAGATTATCATAGATTATATGGATTTCCATGACTGCCGTCTTAAGTCTTATGTGCAATTTAAGTAAGCCGTGATAAATTTCTGCGTAAAACTTGTGACTGTGTATGTAGCTTAAATTAATCCCTTGCAGAAAAAAGTAATATAGTTTAATTACTCATTGATTTAATATTAAGTTTGAAGAAAAACTAAATAAATGTCCCCAGTGTCCATTCTGGCCCCCTATACATGTAGATGTACCTTTGATATTCACTTGTATTAGATTACAGAAGTTTTCCTATGATCGATTTGTTTGTGATTCCAGTTTGACTTTGTGAACTGATTACTGATTGGTTTGTGATTCCAGTTTGACTTTGTGAACTGATTACTGATTGGTTTGTGATTCCAGTTTGACTTTGTGAACTGATTACTGATTGGTTTGTGATTCCAGTTTGACTTTGTGAACTGATTACTGATTGGTTTGTGATTCCAGTTTGACTTTGTGAACTGATTACTGATTGGTTTGTGATTCCAGTTTGACTTTGTGAACTGATTACTGATTGGTTTGTGATTCCAGTTTGACTTTGTGAACTGATTACTGATTGGTTTGTGATTCCAGTTTGACTTTGTGAACTGATTACTGATCTGTTTGTGATTCCAGTTTGACTTTGTGAACTGATTACTGATCTGTTTGTGATTCCAGTTTGACTTTGTGAACTGATTACTGATTGGTTTGTGATTCCAGTTTGACTTTGTGAACTGATTACTGATTGGTTTGTGATTCCAGTTTGACTTTGTGAACTGATTACTGATCGGTTTGTGATTCCAGTTTGACTTTGTGAACTGATTACTGATTGGTTTGTGATTCCAGTTTGACTTCGTGAACTGATTACTGATTGGTTTGTGATTCCAGTTTGACTTTGTGAACTGATTACTGATCTGTTTGTGATTCCAGTTTGACTTTGTGAACTGATTACTGATTGGTTTGTGATTTCAGTTTGACTTTGTGAACTGATTACTGATTGGTTTGTGATTCCAGTTTGACTTTGTGAACTGATTACTGATTGGTTTGTGATTCCAGTTTGACTTTGTGAACTGATTACTGATTGGTTTGTGATTCCAGTTTGACTTTGTGAACTGATTACTGATTGGTTTGTGATTCCAGTTTGACTTTGTGAACTGATTACTGATTGGTTTGTGATTCCAGTTTGACTTTGTGAACTGATTACTGATCTGTTTGTGATTTCAGTTTGACTTTGTGAACTGATTACTGATTGGTTTGTTATTCCAGTTTGACTTTGTGAACTGATTACTGATTGGTTTGTTATTCCAGTTTGACTTTGTGAACTGATTACTGATTGGTTTGTTATTCCAGTTTGACTTTTTGAACTGATTACTGATTGGTTTGTTATTCCAGTTTGACTTTGTGAACTGCTTTATTTCCCTGTTTTACGTGGCCTTCTACCTCCAAGACATGGTCTTGTTACGAAGTGTAAGTATCAGATTATTATATAATTATTTTATTTCACTGTCCACATACTTCTGTGACATGGCTTTGTTATATATTGTAAGTATTTTACTTTTAAAAAAGTCGCCCACGTGGCGCAGTGGTTAGAGCGTCTGCTCTAGAGTCGCGAAGTAAGGAGTTGATCCTTACGTCGCGGGTTCGAATCCCACTGCGGGAGGTGGAGACCGGTCCTTCGGATGAGACCGTATAAACCGAGGTCCCGTGTCGCAGTAGATGCTGGCACGAAAAAGATCCCTCACTGCTCAATGGCCGTAAGTGCCGAGTATAGGACAAAATTTGCAGCTCTCCACCGGCAAGTGGTGGCGTCTCCATATGAGTGAAAAATTCTCGAGAGGGACGTTAAACAACATACAAACAAACTTTTAAAAAATCCTATATACACTGTACTATCGGGCCTTTTATCTTGTCATGTATTATAAGTAATTGTACATTTTTAAGTCCTATTTTTAGCTCACCTGAGCTGAAAGCTTTAGTGAGCTTTTCTGATCACCCGTTGTCCGTTGTCCGTCCATCTATAAATAAACTTCTTCTCAAGAACCACTGGGCCAATTTTAACCAAACTTGGTACAAAATATCCTTGGGTGAGGGGAGTTTATATTGTTAAATATTGGGCCAAGTCCCTTTACAAGGGGAGATAATCAAGAAAAGACAAAAAAGGGTGGGGTCATTAAAAAATCTTCTTCTCAAGAATCACTGGGCCAAAAAAGCTGAAACTTGTGTGGAAGCATCCTGGGGTAGTGAAGATTCTAAATTGTTCAAATCAGGACCCCCGTGTGTAGGGCGGGACCACAATAGGGAATCCAAGTTTTACATTGAAATATATAGGAAAAATCTTTAAAAATCTTCTTCTCAAGAACCACTTGGCCAGAAAAGCTGAAACTTATGTGGAAGCATCCTCGGGTAGTGTAGATTCTAAATTGTTCAAATCAGGACCCCCAGGGGTAGGGCCGGGCCACAATAGGGAATCCAAGTTTTACATTGAAATATATAGGAGAAATCTTTAAAAATCTTCTTCTCAAGAACCACTTGGCCAGAAAAGCTGAAACTTATGTGGAAGCATCCTCGGGTAGTGTAGATTCTAAATTGTTCAAATCAGGACCCCCAGGGGTAGGGCCGGGCCACAATAGGGAATCCAAGTTTTACATTGAAATATATAGGAGAAATCTTTAAAAATCTTCTTCTCAAGAACCACTTGGCCAGAAAAGCTGAAACTTACGTGGAAGCATCCTCGGGTAGTGTAGATTCTAAATTGTTCAAATCAGGACCCCCAGGGGTAGGGCCGGGCCACAATAGGGAATCCAATTTTTACATTGAAATATGTAAGAAAAATCTTTAAAAATCTTCTTCTCAAGAACGACTGGGCCAGAAAACTAAAACTCATGTGGAAGCATCCTCAAGTATTGTAGATTCTAAATTGTTCAAATCATGACCCCCGGGGAGGTAGGGAGGGGCCACAATAGGTATTAGAAGGGGGAAATCTGGAAAAGAACAGCATGACATAAGTTACTCAGGTGAGCGATGTGGCCCATGTGCCTCTTGTTAATGTTTTATGTGGCCTTTTAACTTGTCATGTATTATAAGTAATTGTACATTTTTAAGTCCTATTTTTAATGTTTTATGTGGCCTTTTAACTGTGGGACTGTCTTGTTAACAGGAGACAGATTAAACATCAACATGAATACACTATATGGTTCAGGTCAATCTTGACAGGTCTGTGTTTATTTTTAAGTTGAGTCTGATTTTATAATGCTTTTTATGTTAAATATGAATCTCATGGATTTCAGCACTTGGCCGGCTTACTCATCACTCAACAGCTGATTGGTCAGATTCAAGAGGCCATGGTGCCGTTTGTCTTCCTGAAGCGACGGAAAAAACAGGTGGATAAAATGATGAAGAAACAGGACACTCTGCAGAAGGTGGAATACTTCAATGGTGAAGTCGACGAGGAGGTTCAGAAACAGGCAGGGATCGAGAGTGAAATGGAGGAGTACTTGGTATGTATAGATGTGCAGAAACCGGGGTTGGGGGTGGGGGGTATACAGTATATATAAAGGTTCAGAAACAGGTGGGGATCGAGAGTGAAATGGAGGAGTACATGGTATGTATAGATGTGCAGAACGGGGGGAGGGGGATATACAGTATGTATAGAGGTTCACAAACAGGCGGGGATCAAGAGTTAAATGGAAGAATACATGGTATGTCAGAATGGAGAAATTCAGGGGCTCCATTGTAATATTCTCAGGCAGTTACACCTTTTATTAATAGTGCATAAAAGAGTTTTTCTAGAATTTCAATCAAAGAATGAGTGCACTTTAGTACGTCATTTGGAACCTTTTCGGCTAACCATTTTAAGCTTTACGTTACAATACTGTAGATTCCTTATTTTTCGCGAGTACTTATTATCGCGAAATGGCTCTTTCACGTCAAATCACGAGAACAATAATTCGCGAGTGGACGGTTGATCAAGGGATTTTACATTGATTTCAGCACCATAAAAATAAAAGCGAGAAATTTTATTTCGCGAGTGGTGCTTCTCGCGTAATTACGCGATAATTAATTCCTCGTGTATATTTAGGAATCTACAGTATATCGCTTAATTAATCTATGATTATTGTGCAAGCATATTCTTTTGATATTTATTCCTTGAATTTTTTGTCATACATATTTCTATAATTACAGACAATGTCATTGAAAAGAACATGTACAAGCCTTAAATTCCGGAAATTTGAACGAGACCACTTTCGAATTTAAGGTGTCCGCAAATAGGCGGAGACGTTTAAATCACATGGATGTGGAATGTAAACATTAGCACATATGATTTTTTTTGCACTGCGAATTTAAATGGAGAAAAGAGAGATTGTGTAGTTTCATGGTACACAAATAATAAATGATTCTAGTGTTTAGGGATGGGGAAGCTGTCTCGCCCTGCAGACCATTATACAGAGGCGACATGAGCCTGTACATGTACTTACTAAACACACTGTCAATACCAGAATTCTTTCAAAACACCCCTAATGAAAAATACAAAGTAAAATAAGAGACATATAATCTTCAAACCCTATTAAAATTTGGGCAAAAATCCTCCATAGTTTGAAGTTGGAAGTACGATAGATACTGTCACAATAGAAACTTTCAATGACAAACACAATGAAATGTTCAATGAAAGCCTTAGCGTATCGTACAGTGGAATGTCACGTGAGTAAAGTGATTATAATATCAATCGTTGACACTCGGCGAACTGTTAATTTAGTGGCTAATTCGACAGTAGTTTGGAGACTTTTTCAAAAAATTACATATGAGCCGCAATTTGTCCAACATTGTCCTTTGGATATGTTGAAGTTTAAATTAAAAAACACATTCTGTGCAAATGAGACCAATGGACAAGTTGCGGCTCGATGTAAACAATGTCGTTGAAAACTGGTATGCATATGAATAACAATAGAAATGTGACAAAACTGTTAGACCCCCGTCTCAAAAGCTAGTGTCGCTCGGCATTATTTAATACTTTCGTGTAATATAATATACCAAAACCAGCTCATTGTTTAATACCTATAAAACATAAAGTTTATGAACTTCGGAATTTTATTTTGCGCAAAACACCGGGACCCAACTCTCATAGCTTAAGTGCACTCATCCTTTCACATGATATTTGCTTTAATTGTCATGAAAATTAACTCAACTGTTCAATCTACATCTATGGATGTCATTAAAGATCATTAAAAACTATTTTTTCTGTTTTCCAGGGTACAATGGATGATTATTTAGAGATGTTTCTACAGTTTGGTTACGTGTTTCTCTTCTCCTCGGCCTTCCCTCTGGCCGCTTTGTGGGCATTTCTAAACAACATCACAGAAATTCGCTCGGATGCGTTCAAGATGGTCAAAGTCTTTCAAAGACCCTTTGCAGAGTCTGCCTCTAGTATTGGAGCCTGGCAGGTTTGTGGACAAAATGAAAGATTTATCAAGTGAACTTAAAAAATTATTGATGTCTAAATGTAGATTTATGTAAGACTTGTCATAACAATATTTCTTCATTTATGATGGAAATGAATAAACAGCAGAATGATGATGTAATTTTGCATTTAAATTAATTTTAGTGATTAAGTGTAGAAACATGATGGTTACAGCATGCCATGAAAGTCATAAATAACTGCATCCTAACCAATAATACCCTGAAAGCTGGGGACCATAATTCTATCAATTTGCTTGTTACAGTGTAATTACAAAGTGATTACAATAGGTAGACATTAACTGTGTAAAAAAGAAAAACAGGGTATTTGTTAGCTAATTAGCATGTGTCTCAAGGCATGATCTTGGGACACTGATATGGCATGCAGTTTTACGGCAATTATCATTTTTCAAAAATGAAAATACACTGATTATTTTTATTTATATTTTAAAAGTTGCACAAAATTGATAAATAAATAAGTCTGTCAAATATATGCACTCAATTTAAATTCTGCATGAATGCAAATTGATCATCACATTATTTAGCAATGAATGTGTCTTGCTATTGACTACATTAATGAACTTTAGTCGACGGGGTGAAATTCTGTGGATTTTTTGTGACTGTGGAGTTAACGTAAATAAGCCCCTCTATTAAAAAGGAAATCTACAGTAGTTTTATGATGATTTTAGGTTGCCTTTGAGTTCATTATACTAGTTAAGATTTAATTTCAAATGCCTTTGACTTTGTATAATGGATGACGTGACTTTAAATTTTCATTGTAATTTTAGGTTGCTTTTGAGTTAGTATAATTATGGATGACGTGACTTTAAATTTTTATCGTAATTTTAGGTTGCCTTTGAGTTAGCATTAGGTGACTTAGTATTAGTGACTTTTATTCCTTGTAATTTTAGGTTGCCTTTGAGTTTGTGTAATGGATGATGTGACTTTTATTCATTGTAATTTTAGGTTGCTTTTGAGTTAGTATTAGGTGACTTAGTATTAGTGACTTTTATTATGCCCTGCCATGAATATGGCCGGGGCATATAGTGTTTGTCATGTCCGTCTTCCGTCCTTCCGTCCTTCTGTCCTTCCGTCTGTCCTTCCGTCACACTTTGCGTTTAGCTCTGTTCAAAGCTCAGTTTCAAAGAAACTATCCAAGATATTTTTATCAAACTTCATACGCTGATAGATATTGATGAGAGCTATGCAACTGCATCAACATTTTTTGACCTTGACCTTTCCTTTGACCTTGACCTCACTTTTCTTAAATTAGTGTTTAGCTCAGTTTTAAAGATACCATTCAAGATAGTGTTATCAAACTTCATATGCTGATACATACTGATGAGAGCTATTCAACTGCATCAACATTTTTTGACCTTGACCTTTCTTTTGACCTCGACCTCACTTTTCTTAAATTAGTGTTTAGCTCAGTTTTAAAGATACCATTCAAGATAGTGTAATCAAACTTCATATGTTGATACATACTGATGTAAGTTATTCAACTGCATCAACATTTTTTTACCTTGACCTTTCTTTTGACCTTGACCTCACTTTTCTTAAATTAGTGTTTAGCTCAGTTTTAATGAAACCATTCAAGATATTTTTAACAAACTTCATATGCTGATACATACTGATGAGAGCTATTCAACTGCATCAATATTTTTTACCTTGACCTTTCCTTTGACCTTGACCTCACTTTTCTTAAATAAGTTTTAGCTCAGTTTTAAAGATACCATTCAAGATAGTGTTATCAAACTTCATATGCTGATACGTACTGATGAGAGCTATTCAACTGCATCAATATTTTTTGACTGTGACCTTTCCTTTGACCTTGATCTCACTTTTCTGCAATAAGTGTTTAGCTCAGTTTTAAAACCATTCATAATATTTTTATCAAACTTCATATGCTAATACATACTGATGTAACCTTTCAACTGCATAAACAATTTTAGACCTTGACCTTTCATTTGACCTTGACCTCACTTTTCTTAAATTTGTCAAACTTCATATGCTGATACATACTAATGTAAGCTATTCAACTGCATCAATATTTTTTCACCTTGACCTTTCCTTTGACCTTGACCTCACTTTTCTCAATTTGTGTTAAAATGTTGCATTACTAATATACCCTCGGTGGGGCATTCATGTCCTATGGACATATTTCTAGTTCCTTGTAATTTTAGGTTGCCTTTGAGTTTGTGTAACGGATGATGCGACTTTTATTCATCGTAATTTTAGGTTGCTTTTGAGTTAGGATTAGGGATGACGTGACTTTTATTCATTGTAATTGTAGGTTGCTTTTGAGTTAGTATAATGGATGACGTGAGTTTTATTTATTGTAATTGTAGGTTGCCTTTGAGTTAATCAGCATTATGGCAGTTATGACAAACTGTGCTTTGATCGGGATGAACCCAGAGGTCAAAAAACTCTTGCCAACCGACATAACGCCAGTCAACCTAGTCCTCATATTTGTTGCGGTGGAGGTTTGTTAATCTAAATAATCAAGGCAGACTACCTAGTCCTTATATTTGTTGCAGTGGAGGTTAATAAAATGTAAAATTTCATCAATCAACACTGCATAATTTTTAAAGCAGTGAAGTTGCATTGTATGTTAAACTTACTGAAAGTCCATTTACATCATAATATGTATTTTTACGGTTATGATAAACTACATTGTGATTTATATGGGAGGTTTACCGAGAATTACATAGTTATTAAGAAGTGTCTTAACGATTCCTCGTTTTTGTGTTGTAGCACATTATTCTGGCTATTAAGGTTGCTGTAGCCGTCCTAATACCAGACCAGCCAAAATGGGTGGAGATTGAACTTGCCAAAACAGCGTATCAGTCCAAGCTAGCACTCCAAGAAAAGGTCAGTGAAACTAGTTTTAAGTAGGTATACCATGGTAGTCACTGTCAAAAATGTGAGTGGTAATAGCTCTTAGAGCCATCGACTATGTGATGACTTTTTATAAAAAATTTAATGAAAATACCCTAATTGTACATTCAAGGTAGTTCAAATAATTTCCACTAAAGGATTAAATGAATCAGAAGGGGGTACAAAATTGTATACATTTCATGGGAAAGGACTATGAAAATGGTTCTCATTTTACAAAGAAATTTGTAGAAAATTCCTCTTTTCGAAAGGGCTTAAAATTATCCGTATTGGCAATCATTTTACTATTATGGGACCACAAAATGGAGTCCAAATCTTGACAGAAATATGTACAGGACAAACCTTGAAAATTTTCTTTAAAAAAGGAATGCAGTGCTACAGATTGTCAAAGTTGATGAGATCCACATTTGTCAACACACTTTTTAGAGATTTTTTTTTTTTTTTTTTTTTTAAATAGAAGTGAATAATGTTAAGCTATGTAAGAAAATTTATTGAATAATGTTATGCTATAAAAGGAAGTCAAAGAAGTAAAATTTTAATGGCATGTTTGAATCACAGTTCTCCTCATGCTAAAATAATTTGAAATCAGTGGATATATATGTATGCTAGTTACAGTAACTTAGAGAAACATGAGAATTTAAATAGAATTGTTTACATTACACAGCACTACCAAATAGGTGTGTCATAGGTAAGAAAGATATATATGTATCAAAAGTAAGACACATCTAAATGTATCAAAGTACCGTACACAAAGCAGTAACTAGTGCACATTCCTCTGCACTGTTAAACACCATAAGCCAATCTATATATACCTCAAAACAGGAGTATAATCTTGTCACTATTCAACATATTTTTATAATACGGTGTATTAAAGCAATATGAATAATTTATTTTTCAAGTTTCACAGTATCTTAGATATGGGGATATGTAGCATCTATTTTTGGTGCAATGTAGAAGAAAAAAAAATATGTGTGTTCAACTAGAAGTCTGGTGCAGATGAAATAACTTTTTCTTATCCAATTGTATCCATTTAGATGTTCTTGATCTGTTTTTAGTCAAATGCAGAAAAAAAAGTGTTATTTCACCTGCATCATTCAAGTGAAAATAAATTATTGTTATACCTTTAAAAATTGTTTCAGATATAAATCTATGCTTAAAAAAGATTAACACAGTATTTCTCTAAGGGACGTTAAACAGCAAACACCCCCCCAGAAAAACCATTGAAACCAGCACAAGATACATTATGATAAAAAAGTAAAAGGTATAACAAAACATTTATTGACTTTGTTCTCCTGCAACCTGTGACATGCGTTTTGGTGAACCCTTGAACCAAACTGTTTGCCTTTGGCTTAATAGCCTCAGGCAACGTAATATCCTCAGGCAACCTAATAGCCTCAGGCAACCTAATAGCCTCAGGCAACCTAATAGCCTCAGGCAACGTAATATCCTCAGGCAACCTAATAGCCTCAGGCAACCTAATAGCCTCAGGCAACCTAATAGCCTCAGGCAAACAGTTTGGTTCTTGGGTCTGACAAAAGGCATGTTGATGGAGAACACCGTCAATGAATATTTAGTATGAATTCTACAATATTGGATTTCAGCCAATCAAAGAGCTAGGAATTATTCAATCATACAAAAAAAAGGGTTTTTTTTATAATTTATTTATGTTGCAGCACCTGAACAAAACTTTAGCAGACAAGGAAAAGATTGATGCTGTTCTAAAAGGAAAGAAACAAAGTTAATTTAATAATCCTAAAATGAATGAATTTCAAGAAAAGACAACTCTAGAAATCACAGTGAACTGGCATTCTTTATGATACCTGCTGTTATAACTTTTACAATGTCATTTCTGAAGAATTGTCAGGTATTTGCAATTTATGAAGCTGATAACATTCTCTTTCTGTTGATGTACTGTTTTATGTAATCACTTCTGCTTTTACAATCTCATTTCTCCAGATTTGTTAAAAACTTATAATTGGGATAATCCAATGGCAGCTCAAACATATCTAGATTGTCCATCTCTGTCAACAGGGTAAACTGGTCATATCTAGTCTAGTAATAATTACAGTAAAACTCTTAGTAGATATAGCGAAGTTTTTCGGGGTCCCGGGCAAAATTCTTAATAATTCTTTGTAAAATTTTACGGTTATAACGAACTCTGATATAACAAATTTGGGTGAATTCAAAAAAAATGACCACCAAACTGAATTTTTTTGGCAAAATTCAACTACTTATAACATATTTTTCACTTATATCATCATATTGCAAATGCATTCTAGTTTGAAATCCTGAAGTGGCAATAGAATAGACAATTGGATTAAAAAGTTTCAGAATTTTTATGAGTAAAATTTCTTTTGAAAAAATAAAATATCATTACACCTTAAAAGACTTTCTAAAATACATAATCACAAGAAATTATAGTTTTTTATGCTTCAAAATGGTAAAAGGGGTATAAATGATTAAATCTAGACCTTGAATGAGTATCTTCTCTGGTACATGTGACAAAAAATTGGCTTTTTGATTGTTATTTTACATTATTTTTTCAATTCTGGTTTAAAAAGTTTTAATATGAAAAAAATATGAAGCAATAAAATTCCCCAAAATTCACTTTTTTATCCGTTCAAGTCAATTCTTTAAATCTAAGCCAAAAAAGAATTGTTATATATGAGTTCTCTTACAAAAAATACTAGATTTTGAAGTGACCCTATGTTACATTATTGTGTTGCACTCCTGACTTCTGACATGTATTTTATTTAACATTGTTTTAAAAATTATAACACACAATAACCCACTCTTACTTTGTAAATCAATTTGTCGTGTTGATATTTGTCATCGTTTACAGCAGGCTTTTCATATTTTGAAGACCTTAAAACATGATTATTTGAAAAGTGTAATATATATAAATTTTATTTAAAATATATGTGAAATGATGAAAACTATTCCCTGAATTGACTGTAAAATTTCTGTAATTTGTTGATAGACATAGTGTTTTGAACATCAAATAGTATCCAGCATTTTTCTTCAACTTATTTTTTAGTAAAGATAGTTAAAAAGCATCGGTAATTATGAAGCAGTTTTGTTGCACTCCTGACTGCAGTAAAGTTTAAAATTAAAACCATAGAACACAAAAATTCATAAAGTGTTGGCAACATCAAGTGGTAATGAAATTGTGCAATACTTATAGTCCAATACTTCATAATTAAAACAGATGAAAGTATTTAAAATTTGCATTTTATCTGGAATTATACCCTATTTTATGCCAAAAAACTAGCTTAAATGTATATTTAGAAGATAAAATATATTTTAAAGCATATTTTCCTTTAGAGGACAAACACAGTAACCCACCAGAAAAATTCTACTCATCATTTTTTCTTTATTTTTATTCTTAGTGGATGATTTATGATTCTAACATATTTGTTGCACTCCTGACCAAAAGCATTGGGGCCTTTAAAGTAGAATTGTGAAGTGAAAATTACATAAGAACTTGTTCTGTTGTTTCAGTGAAGTTGAGGAGGAATTACTTGAATTTAATGACAATGTTTTAGTATGTTTATTTTTAACGTTCATTAAAAAAATCACAAAAAAGATAAAAACACATCTGAATTGATAAAATTGAAAAAGGAAGAATTTTAATAATAAAACTATCAATAATTTAGCATTAAATTATACAAAAAGATCATTATTAATCAATGAATACCTCTAAGCATGAATAGAAGTCTTTTCGACACAGAACTTGAATCTTTGAAAAAATGTGTTGCACTCCTGACCATAGAAATATGGATCTGAAGGACAGACAGATCCTGTAATTGATAAATCTGTTTGGTAAAAACGTTCTTTGTGTCTTTATTTTCCAAAATAAAAATCAGAAAATCATATAATGATAATAGGTTTTTCATGCTTGGGAGCAAAACATCAAATGTTGCACTCCTGACATTTTTGGGTATGCACATATACTTGACTCTCATTAATGCTGCTTGTGATTTATATAACATTTTTAAGTTTTAAAATGTATATCAGTTATTATTTTACACTTCCAAAATTCTTTTTTGTCTTAATTTTCTATCAGAATTTTACAATTGATGTTTTTTTGGCAACACTACATTTTTTCTGTTGCACTCCTGACATGGTATAACATTTTTTTAAACATCTGTCATGACCACAACTTGATTAAACAAAAGTTATGACAGTCCACATTTAAAGCTCAATACTTTGAATATTATCAGGAAAGTCTTTATTTTCAACATGAAGCATTGTTTTTTATTTCACAGATCTCCAAAAAATATTGAAATTTCAAAATGTCACAAAAAGGTGTTGCACTCCTGACAATTTTAGCATCATTTTTGGGCATAACTTTTTTGTTAATTGAGATATCAACGAGATATTTGGCAGGTATTTAGACACTATCTAAAGACATATGCTGAGACATAGAAATCTATTTTTATTGCCTGTATTTTTAGTGTGGGTTGATAAATATGCGTTTGGTCATTTTTTTTGAATTCACCCATTTACGGATATAGCGAACTGATTATGAGCCCTGTAGAGGTTAAAAATAATGAAATTTACATCTTTTTATAATGAATTTTCAAAGATCTCAAAATTTGATATATTGAACTGACATTATTTTTGTTAAGTATTTGTATTTAAAATTTAATTCATAAATAACCTTAGTTATCCAAGGTATGTTTTGCAATACATGTAATTGCTTTTCTAACATAATCGATAGTAACACTTGAAGGAAAATGTGTGTATTGCAAATTCGCTATATATACTTAAAGGGATTAATTATATGGATAGAACAAATTAGGGATATAGCGAATTAAAATCACAGGTCCCCAGGACTTCGTTATAATTGAGTTTTACTGTACCTACACTGTTTTAGTGAAATCTCTCAGCAGAAGGTTTTTTAACTTGGAATATTTTACTTCTGTCATTTTGCTGATCATGTGTGATGTAAAAACTCTAACAGTTTGAACAACATCATTTTTTTGTTCCCAATAAATGTGTCTCTCCGTTTGTTTATGTAACATTGTGATATTTAATATTTTATCTGATGCTGAAGTAGGATAAGGCTCTTTCAAGACCTGTATTCAGTTTTCTATGCTCATTGTTGGGGGGACTCTTTACCATATTGTGTTAAAACCTTTTCATTTGGTTTTTTGTATAGTAATTGTATAATAACCGTAATGTTTATATTGTATGATAAGTGTTAATATGTACAATATAAATTTATGTTATATTGTTAACTTGGGGATTATAAAGGTGCAATTTACTGATGTACTGTATGTAGACGTAATGTAGTTAATATCATGTATACAGCAATAATGTGTGTATATGAGGTCTTTTTGTATGTATACTAATAGATGTCTCTTAAGGTTCATAATCTCTCTGTTCATACATATAAAATGTTGCTTTAACATTATGATTTTCCAAAAGAAATGTATTTTATAAGTTGAATGCAAACTAATTTGCATAGCTTGTGAGGCAAAATTTGTCAAAAATGACATTTTTAAAGGAATAACCCATGAAGAGTTATCTCTCTTATCAAAGTATTAATGAACCTTAAAATATTTGTGAGGGCATGGTGAAGATAACAGATCCAGTTAAATACATTGTGGATACAGTAAGATAGCAAACCATCATCTATTTTCATTTAAATGCTGAATTCGTAAATTGTCACCTTTTTTATGTGCTGAATTGAGAATTTTTTATTTATTAGGTGATATATAATTTGTGAAAATGCTAGTATAAGTAAAATTTACTGGGTATTGCCTTCATTGGTTGTGTCAAAGTTTATTCAATTTTTTTATTTCAAAGAATTTGTTTTTAACTTTAAGATGGAATGAAAATTAAATAAAGTTTTCATTATAAGTGGACGATTAATGTGCAAATTAAATACCGTATATACTCGCCTATAAGTCGGATTTTGGGAGTTGAATATTGGTCCCAAACTCTATATCCGACTTATAGGCGAGTCATTGAAAAAAATGGCATTCTTCTGGACAACCAAATGTAGTATTTTATAAACATTTGCGACGATTATCGTTGAATAAATTCTGGATATAGTATATCATTTATGTATGCTAAGATTATACATAAAGTACAAGTATTTACATATTTTAGTTTATTGTATTGTAGATTATTTTTACCTTAAGTGTGAATTCCTTATTTGTTTAATGCTTAGAATTGAATATTTGCGTCATTTCTAAAAATATTGATTAAAACCAGGTTAAAACATCAGAGCATTGATTTGAAATTGTCAACCAAATCTGGCAAAAATTTGTACCGACTTATAAGCGGGTCAATGGCTAATCCTTCCAAAATTACCTAAAAAGATACAACCGACTTATAGGCGGACCGACTTATAGGCGAATATATACGGTAGTTATACATGTATGTGAAACAGAATGAACAATGGCAACAACATTGTGTCAGAAAGCTGGATGTATTACATGTGTACCTGGTCTGTTACAGTGGTAAATGGAATCAGAAATAACAAAATTAACTTCCCTTGATTTATCACCTTATTTTTATCTCCATGGTATTTATAATCCATTGTATCAGCCTCAATATTTTAATACTAACAAACTACAACAAATAAAATAAGCAATGTATGAACTATTTGATTTATTATGTGATATCCTAGAAGTCTGTTGACTGTATTAATTACTATGTGTGTACTGGAATGTTATACAATTCTGTGTAGTAGATTAATATTTTTTGTTACAGCATATTTATTAGTTTTTAACACATTATTGTGTTACATTTACTTGCATTTGATAAATAAAATGTAAAAAAAAAGAATATTTTAAATCTTTCTTCAATGTTGATCTGCATCAATTCAAAGATGTGTTATTTTACGAGAAGTATAGAAGCTTTAAAAGTTTGTAAATAGTATAATAGATATTATGGTAACTGGATTTAATGGTAACAGAATTATTTTCTCTGAATATTTTTCCCACCATCGTTTGATGAACTGAGTTTCTGTGCACTTTGGGATGGCATGTTCTGCTCACTAAATGACAGGAACTTTAATGTCACCAGCAATATATTTGGAATCTAACAACTGTCAACAATCAGTTTTTTGCCCTCCCCCCCCCCCCCCCCCCCCTTGGAAAATAGCTTGGAAACCTTTGCTTGACAGGTGTCAAACTCGGTGCACTGGTTCTTCTCTTATGAGGACACAAGGTGAAAGGTCAAGGGTCAAACTGAACACAAGAAGATATTGACCCAGTATTTTTGAGAACCCTTTGCTTGACCAGTGTATAACTTGGTACACTGGCTTAGGAAATAGAGAGCCAGTGTGGATTTTGAGGTCACAGGGTCAAGGGTTAAACTACTGCATTGTCTGCTCAATATTTTTAGAAGCATTTGCTTGACAGAATCAAACCTGGTTCACTGGTACACCCTGAAGAGTAAACAACCCTTTTTGATTTGAAGTCACAAGGTCAAGGATTGAACTACTTTTAGACACTGGAAGAAATCTTGAGAAACATTTGCTTGACAGATATCAAACATGTTACATTGGTTCTTCTTAAGGAATAAAATACTCCTATTGATTTTGAGGTCACAAGATCAATGGTCAAATTAAATATGGTAATTATTGTTACTCAATAGTTTAGAAACCTTTGCTTGACAGATATCAAACTTTGTGCATTGGTTTTTGTTAAAGAGTAGATGACCCCTTTTCCTTATGAAGTCAACAGGTCAAGGGTCAAACTGAACATAAGAAGATATTGACCACCCAATATCTTGAGAATCCTTTGCTTGACAGGCATAAGTAAACCAGTATCCCTCAAGGAATAGTTTACCACTGTAAATATCGAGATCATAAGGTCAAAGGTAAAACTACTGTAGACATAGGTAGATATTGACCTCTCAATATCTTGAGAACCCTTTGCATGACAGACATCAGCCTTGGTACAGTGGTTTACCTTAAGGAATAGATGATCCCTATTGATTTTGAGGTCACAGGACTAAGATTGATTTTAAGGTCATAAAGATCAAAGATCAGACTGGACACAAGAAGATGTCTGTCAAGCAAATGATTCTTAAAATATTGACCACTCAATATCTTAAAAACCTTTTTTTTTGACATCATTCTAGGAAAATTAGTTTCCCATAGGGAGAAGATAACCCCAGTTGAATTTTGCAGTCATAAGGTCAAGGGTCATACAACACAGACAGATATTGTCAGTATCTTGAGAACAATTTGCTCTACAGACATCATTTGGTACACTGGTATCCTTCAAAGAAGTAAATTACCCCTAATGATATTGAGGTCTGATAGAGATCCAACTTGGTATTACCTTTACCCCTGACTAGTAAATGACCTATTGTTTTCATTATCATTACAACCATTCTAAATTTAAAGTCATTCCCTTTTTTAATATTGCCGACCTATTGTTTTCATTATCATTACAACCATTCTAAATTTAAAGTCATTCCCTTTTTTAATATTGCCACATGGAGGGCATGAATGTTTCTCACACATTTTTTGTTTTTCTGCCGAGTCAGTGCACATTTTACTACGGCCCCGTTTTAAAAGAACTGGGCAAATCTTCTGGTAGTGTATGTTAATACCTGCTCATATTTAACTGGAAAAAAAAGACTGTGGGACAAAAACTTTTTGATCACGTAGGTAGGAAAAGTCTTGATTCTACAGGTAATCAACTTCAGGGTTGTCCGTAAGAATTGAACTAGAAGGGGACATTTAAAAGGTAGAAGGGGATCTGGGCTTCCTCCCCTGATGGGGAGTTTAAGAGGAATACCAAAATAACCAGGGGCCCGTTTTACAAAAGAACTTACAAATATGACCAAAATTTAATTCTGCTTATTACTTTCTAATTTACATTTATTTGAAAATGGTTTTAATTTTTTTAAAAAGAAATTATCAAGATATTTTTATGCTGACAATTTCAAACTGAATCATAAATTTTGCAAAACTTCACAATTAACTAATCTTTTTGGTCTTAGTTGTAAGTTCTTTTGTAAAACGGGCCCCTGCGGAATACATCATTATAGGTGGGGAAATTCCCTGGCCTCCAGGTCTTAGGGACAACCCTGAACTTCTTGCACTATCTGTCCCAACTTCTTACCTGACAGAAAAGACTAGAAAACTAGGGAAAACTGCTACAAAAAACAAACTAAATCTATCATTGTATTGTCTGTTTATTTGTTCCATTGAAAAATAATTTCATCTTTATGAATTCTTTAAAAAAGGAATGGAATGGATGTTTACTAACAACCAGTACAACATGTTAAAGACAGGTGTCAACAATTTACTGAACTCGGAACCTTGTAACACTGTTACAAAGTATCAGCTTAGGTGTCTAATAAACGTTACACAGTGCCCTACAAAAAGGTCCTGCATGCAATTCATACATCTCAATCGGTACACAATCTCTAACCAAATCAGTAATTAACCTACCAGGTAGTCAGGTAGGATATTGATTCCTTCTTCTTGCTTAATATATATTTCACTTGTGGAATTTTTGAAAATAATACATTTTTTAAAGTCCTTTGGACCAAACATTTTATCTTAATCAATTTAAACTTACTAAAATAAATCATATGAAGGAGAAAAAAAAATAAATTAAGCACTCAGTTTTTGCTGCTAAATAAAACACAATGAACTGGCCAGGTGTATAGACAATCCTAGGTTTATAGAGAACAAAATAAACTATATATTTCCTGATGTACATCAATGTTGTCACAACCCACAAATTTAAATAATTTTTAAAGCTACTACATGGCTTTTTTATCTTTCTGATAACTTAGGTAAGATCAAAGTAACATTCAGAACATTATCATTAAATGCAGGAAAAATAATATCTCCTCAATTTTGAATGGTTTTCGTCATATTTTTCTCTCCCATATGCAAAGGAAATTTTTTTTTATATAATTAAAAATAAAATGTGATATGAATGTTTTGATATCCGTTATGTACTCTTTATCAATTTTCAACAAACCTTGACAATCTTAAAAGGTAGTTCACAATAAACCTGGATCTCTAAGCTTATTTTTGAGATACAAGAAACAATTGATATATCAGATGTATTTGGAATGAATTTTAGTTATACAAGGGAAAAAACAAAACTGTTACAGATCAGAGTACAATAAATATAATGAGACTTAATCAATTTCAAGACATTTTCAAATTTTTAAAACATGGTACTAAATAACAAACAATTGTCATTTTTCCTGTTAGTCACATTCTATTGCAATCACCAACATAAAAAGGAAACAAACATCAAGTGCTTAACATAAAAAGGACTGCAGAAATAAAACAGCGGGGATATAGGTGTGCAAAAAGCTTCTACCTAACAGCACTTCTAAAATATAAAATGTACAGAAAATATTGCATATATAATAATGATGAAACCCTGTTACAACTTGCTGTGCAATAATTGTGCTTCATGTTGATACAAACTATGGCTTTACGTCATTAGAGATTTATCTCCCTTTGTTAACTCAACCGTGGCTGCCTATATATAGTAACTATAATTAACCTATGACCTTTTATTCCTTATCTGGATGAAAACTTGGATACTTTATCTTGCAGTAAATAAGTACATGATACATTGGCCATGATAAGAAATGACATGTGTATTTTGTGTTTAAATACAGCTGTTTGGCTAGTGCCAGTTAATATCTTTTACTATACAAATCTAAGTGAAGGATCTACTGAAGTGAAGGTCATCCTATGGAACACAAGGGAATGCAGGACTACCATATAACGGATCATTTCTGCCATCCAAAACTGTGACTTTTCCTCTCCAATACAAACTACCCGTATTTTAACAATCTTTTGCAAAACTTTCTATCCCAGACATGGCCAAGATTATTCCCCTTAGATAGCTTATTTTTCTCTGTATATGAGATAGAAATGATTGGGACAAGGTAGTTATGATGTACACAGATATGTCATCACCTTTATCACACCCTTGTACATAGAGTCCAATCCTGAATATAAAACAACTTTATTTCTTCCCTTTTCACCTTTTTAAACAGTGTTTTTTTTAATTAAATCAACTTTTTTTTCTTGTTGATTCTTGTAAATGATCAATTTTAAAAATTTCACTGGAGAATCTTTCACCAGTAAGCCCTTACAGACATATCATGCCCCAACATTGTTACTAGAAAGTGCAATAACTGTATTTGCACACATTTCCATTTGCTTTGGGATAATTTGCATGTTGTATACTTCACAATTTGATCCAACATATTACGATATTTAGCTGAAACTGACCATCAAAAATGACCCATTATACAGTATACAAGTTTGGAATGTCATATCTACATTTGGACAGTGGAACAGTGAGGATTCTAATCCACTGTTTATGACTTTTCAATGGACACTGGAACAATGATGGATTCCAACCCACTGTTTATGACATTTCATGAATCTTGATTGTTTTATGTTAATTTTTGTAGAGGAGAACAAAATAAAATTGACACACTGACATTTTTTTGGAATATCCATTTTTACAAAAGTCTCTGCAACACGGCCATATAACTTTTTTTGCATTGCCATTCCACTTCTTGAGCAATGAAAGGAGAATTTGAGCACAAATTCTAAGAAAAGCATCCATTGCTATAATATACACAAAACCCTACCCATTGGAACGGGTAAATATGTATAACAAAATAAATACAGATTTGCCAGTATAAAGCAACCTCTCTAAATATACATAATGTTTGGGAATATATCACCGTAAAATTCATCATATCAACACACACCGCTGTCTACAAAAGTTATATCACATATCAGTGCAGATCACTTAGACACAACCCTGCACTCATTACTTCACATCAACTGATGTCACATGACTTTTTACCAACTACCCACTTTTGATCATATGAAAACACAAAATGCTGCTTCTATTTCATGTAGTAAACAGACAACTTTGTTCTTTCTTGCAGTCAATTGCTTGTCATATGTTTTACCATTGATGTCACATGACCTGATCACATGACAACACAACAGCCCTGCTTGTCCTCCTCTCCGATGACTGGTGCACTATGGGGAGCTTTGAATTTGTGAACTGCCTCTGGGTGGTAGCCTTGCGTGTTGTTGTTTGTGTTATGACCATTTTTATCTTTATGGGGCTCTTTCCCAGGCAGGGATGATGAACTGTATTTTTTGCTATTATTAGAGGACAGACTATTTATAAACATGTTCTGTACTTGAGAACTAATGTCCGTTAGGCTATTCTCTCGACTTCTTGATTCTGCACGCTGTCGTTTTAAATCTGCCAGAGTTATGGAAGGGGGACCAGAGGGATAGCGAACGTTTGAACTGGTCCCCGTCTCAGTGTTGTTTAACTGATACGAGTTTGATTTGACACGCGGACTTGAGGAATCACTTCGTCTCTCCTGCTGCCTCTGCCGCTCCTGTTCTGACACAGACTTTGGAATGTTGTTTGTTCTGGGTTTGTCTGGTGTAGTCTCTCGGTGGGATGTCGGCCGTTCCTGTCGGCTGTTGGGGGAAGATGTTGGCCGTTCCTGTCGGCTGTTGGGGGTAGATGTTGGCCGTTCCTGTCGACTGTTGAGGGAAGGGTTTTGAGGTCTAGACCTTTGGCTGGGCTGACCTTGAGGGGCAGACTCTGGTCTACTTGACCTTGAGGAAGAGGACTGTCGCTCTCCTGGTGGTCTGTCTGCCTGTGTGTTTCCTGGGGAAAGCCTTGGGGGTGCTGTAGTATCAACAGTCTTTGGTTGTTTTGAGGGTGGGGGTGACGCTTTTTTTGTTGGTTCAGGTTTCTCCTCATCTATGATGATCTGGACATCTTCTATATTTGTTGCTGGACTGTTCTCTTTATCTTCCTCCTGTCAAAGTAAATCACTCGAATTAAAAACTCCATAAAAATACAGCTTACCATTCCTCAAAATTTTCTTTCAGTTTAAGTGTTTGTTTTCTTTTGAAAAATGTGTTAGAAATGCGGGCAATAGTGAATTGGTCATTATTATGCAGAAAGAAAGTGAAACATCCTATTTTACAAAAGCTAATGTGTACACGTAAGTATAATAATGAAATGAAAACAAAGTGTAAGCATGAATTTAAATGATGTATAGCCTATTGGTGGTTCTGATGGACTTTAGATATACTGTAAACCAACTATTATTCGCGCCATCTTTTATTCGCGATTTGTCAGTTTGAAATCAATCCACGACGATTAATTTTCTTAACTGAGGAAACATTCTCTACAAAAACAAAGCAAAGTAAATGGTTCGCGGCAATTAATATTCGCGAGTTAAAGTAGATCACGAAACTCGCGAATTTTTCTCGCACGTGAATAAAAGTTGGTTTACAGTAGTTTGAGCTATTTGAATGATCATTGACGTGACCATTAAGTCTTCATCACTTTGTCAGTGATTTTAACGTTTAAAACTACAGACATTTGAGAGGCCCTGACCATTAAATCTTCATCACTTTGTCCCCAGCCAAAGTGGAGGGCCTCTTCCCTGGCCTCCTTCATAAAAAGCGGACTTTTCTCTCCCCTCATA